CTCCACAATTAACTTTAGGAGCCGCGGTGGCTAAGTGGGTAAGACAATGGCTCTCTAGCCTCAAGGTCATGGTTTCTCCTTGTCATTGGTGCAGGATGGAGGGCCTGACAAGGACAGCTGTCTAGTCCTTCGAATGGGATCAAAAACCAAGGTACTGTGTATACATTGTCGTGCACGTAAAAGATCCCTTGAAAGTTGGAATTCGATATAAGAGTAGACCATAGTGCTGTTGCCCGGGTAAAATTTCCCTCATAGCACCCTTTATGGCGTAAACTCGTCTTCATTAGCCCAGTTCGGAGTAGAACAGTAGGACGTTAAACTTTATTTCATTTCATTTCCAATATTAACTCATCTCCTACCCCAGCAGTCTACTGTATGTATATTGTAATGTCCATTGTCAAACCTGGGATTGGGTGGCCGAATCATACGGTCTGTAATTGAATAAGTGGCATAATTTTGATTCCCCGGTTGTACGCGACACGGTGTAGGGTCACATGTCCAACCTTGTGGGTTTTTGCTTGGTCCTCTGGTTTTTTCCCACTGCTAAAGACCCCCTATGAGCAAGCAAATTATTGAAATAAAATTGAACCATACGTTAGTCTGGAAATAACCTAGTTTGTGTTGAGTGGATGTTAAACCCCATCTCCCTTTGACACATGCCTTGTTTCTAGGCTTGTGTTTACCCACTAACAGAACAAATTATTTAACTAACCAACTTTTTCCAATCAGCTTTTTAAATCCTTTTTGAAAAGTTTAGTGTAAACATAGCTTAGGATTGATTGTTTTGCACACCACTATAATCTCCTAGCAGTTACAGTAATAATATGATAAATCACAGAATCTAATCTGAGGTCTGTGATTTTGATAAAACATTTCCCTGATTACCAGTAGATATGTATTTTAATTCCACCCATGGGGGTTGGATGGCTGAATGGTTAGCATGTGCGCGCTGTATCAAAAGGTCTGTCATTCAGTCAACTGGCATGGTTTCGATTCCCCCGTTGTATGTGACAAGGAGTAAGGTCGCCTGTCCAACCTCGTGGGTTTTCTCCGGGTTCTCCAGTTCGCTCCCACTGCTAAAGACCCCTACGTACAAGCAAATTATTGAAATAAAATTGAACCATATGTTAGTCCCAAAATGACCTAGTTTGTGTCAAGTGGACGTGGTTGTTCTTGCAAATGTGGTTGTCCTTGCTAAGTTTCCCTAATACATGTACACATTACAAGGTGTGTCTGTCTTCATTAACCTTGGTGCAGAACAGTAGGACGTTACACTCCAGTTCATTATTCATTAGCAAGGTTGGTGCACGAAGGTAGTAACACCATTCGACTCTCAGGGAATGTAGCTCATCGAATCAAAAATGAATACAGATTTTTGGAATGGATCTTCAACACTTTATTTCAGGAGCCAATAACAGCAACAATTATATAAACAACTTGCCATTTCCTATAAATCGGACCTCCAACTAGTATATAGGTTCCCTAAGCTGGTCTCTCAAACTATAATTCATCCTACATACATTTGTCTTTTTAAATAAATTAGTTCCTATAAAAGGTGTTGACATAAACATGTAATTATTGAAGGATTAATTCTTTAACGGCATATAAAACAATAATAGTTAAAGAAACTTAACAGATGAACCAATTTACTGTCAGATTAATTACTGTCTGCCTCTAATATTAATGAATATTAAAATATAGATTTAAAATTAAAAACAGAATTAAAAAATAAAAAAATAAAATATGTTATTTTATGTTATGTTACTACATTGGTCATAGAAGACTGAGTAGGACATTGAACCCAACTTTATTTTTCCTCTTTTAATTTGATATATGTTACATGTACATAAGTTGTGTGAACTTATGTAACTTGTCTTATCTACGTCAGTAAGGCCTACATAAATACACCTATATTTTTATGTGATATTTAGATGTCACGCCCTGTAATAGCTTCAGGCCTTATTATACCTTCTTAATGTAAGCTTACCACAGTCACACTGGCACATACGCCTGTTTACTATAGCTTTGATATTGATATATTAAATTAATACCTGGAGATTTTTATAGGTGACTTGGCGTGTTCTATTTGTCACATGTCAATCACATCTCACTCACGTCTTGTAATAAAAAAAAAAGCTGTCTGTAAGTCGAAAAAATTTATTTTTGTCTCAAAAAGAGAAGATATTACTTACATAAAACATTATGTAACAGCTAAATCTGCCTATGGCAGGCCTTTCTTTAGGCCTTAAATGTTATATAAGCTATTAATTAGACATATATTAACAAGACCATAATCAAATCTAGATACCATCATTAGTCTACGATATTTAGTGATAGATGATTTATCATAAAAATGGATAATCAAGACTGTTTATTATCATAGTAATGACGATCAAGGCTAGTTTAAATTTGAATTGCTAATATCTCGTTTCAGAGTGAAGACATTTGACTGAAATTTTCAGCATGTTCTCTTTCCATTATCTATTTTTGAACTATTATAACGAGAACTGTCAGCTCTTTATCTAAATCTTACGTAATGCATCTTTAATATAACTAATCACCAATGTCAAATTTATTGACATCAATCTGGTTAAAATACAAATCTATATTTCGTTTTTTTTTTTTTTTACTTTCAACAGCCTGCACTACATGCAGATCTGACCATTGTAGTGGGAGGTTGCATCAGGGGTCATACAAGCGGCTTTTGTAGCACCATGGGTCGTTTGTCAGACGTGGAGAGCGGCAGACGCTAAACCAATCGCAAATGTTTACGTAAAAGACTGATAACAGCTGAATTCCAAATATGGAATGGACATGCACCCCCCACCCTGTCTGCTGACAGGGATTGTTACCTAATTTGGTCAACAAATATGATATATGTTTTTTAACAAAGAAACATGTAAATGACCAACATGTTCATTAATCTATAGCTCAGTTAATGTGTCAAAATAACCAGCATATACTTTCTATATTTTTGGTTATGAAGTTAGAATCAATAATATGAAAGATAACAATTAACCATCATATTTCTCCATTCCTTGTCTTTAGACCCCATGTTCTGTTATTGTCACAATATTTTATAAACAATTTAATTTGCATTTCAGAATAAACTTATTACCATAGCTAATATTTTGACAATGGAGAATAATCAATCAAAACCATAATATTATTTAACATTTAGCACAAATCCCTGCCATCCATATTACTACACTTTTGACCCTATGACATCGAAATTTGATTAACCAACCAGAGCTGATGTTTCTAGTAGGTTACCGACAGTTCAATGCACCTTACACCAAAAGCTCGCCGCAACAGACTGTTTCATTGGCTAATCCTTCACATCATCCAGAACGCAGGTTATATACCAACTCTTCTAGATCCTAGTGTAGTAAAGACAAGTAAAACAAAATTTTGAACTAAAAAATCGAAATGAAATAGGATCTGTGATTTAAAGGAGCTAAATTGCTAACATTTGGGACCTAGAAATTCACAAAAGTGGGTCGCAACGCATATAATACTGTAATATGAATGTATATAAACTGATTTACATTTAATGGTTTCCGTTTTTACTCCAATTTCAAATCAGTTATGTTCGGCAAAATAAGTCGGCAATCTCAATCGAGTCCATTTGATTTGGTGCAATATGTCTAGCCTCGTCCCTCGAGTCTCTCAATACAACTGGGGCTGAAGCGCATTATGGTACACGATTCGTGTACCAATGTTAAAAAAATTATTTTATCTTAAATATCGGATATCAGAAGCTCATCTTTTCCCGGTAAGTTTACATCATCAATGTTGATTTAAATTGACCAATAATTCGTGTTTTCGATGTCGAAGATTTTGAATGATTTTGAGTTACGGACTTAGGTCCTTTAATCAGATTGTATTTACCTGTGCTTCTGGAATCAAAATCTGGAAAATACCCTGGATACATGTACAAAATACCCTGGATACATGTACAAAATACCCTGGATACATGTACAAAATACCCTGGATACATGTACAAAATACCCTGGATACATGTACAAAATACCCTGGATACATGTACAAAAGGCTGAAATACAATCGTTCATTACCGTCTTCATTAGCCTGGGTCCAATATTAAACACCACTTCTTTCCTTTGCACAATTTTCATTAAAGATACATTATGTAAGATTTAGATGAAGAGCTGACATTTCTCGCTATAATAGTTTAAAAATAGATCATAAAAAAAAATACACCATACACACATTTTTCCTTTTCACAATTTTCATTAAAGATACATTATGTAAGATTTAGATAAAGAGCCGACAGTTCTCACTATAATAGTTTAAAAATAGATCATGAAAAAAGAATATACCGTACACACATTGAAAATTTCAGCCATAAAATAAATGAAATGAAATGAAATGGGGTTTAACGTCCTGCTGTTCTGCTCCTATACTGGGCTAATGAAGACGGGCATACGCCATACAGTGTGCTATGAGGGAAATTTTGCCCGGACAGTGGCGCTATCGCCTACTCTTATATCGAATTCCAACTGCCGGGGGATCTTTTACGTGCATTCCAATTATACACAGGACTTCGGTTTTTCGTATCATCTGAAGGACTAGACAGCTGTCGTTGTCAGGCCCTCCGTTCTGCACCACAGACAAGGGGAAACCACGTCGGAAAATCCAGATGAACTTTCTCGGCCAATGCATGGATCGAACCGCCATAAAATAACAAAACAAAAATTTTAGAAAAATAAATGTAAAACAATTCATGGATACTTTTGACGAAGTAACTAAGGCTGGACAGGCTGATACATCTGCTTGGGTACTGGATCAGGAAAATGATACCGACGGGGGAGATGAGCGGGGATTCTTAAAATTAAATCAATTTATGTAAACTCATATTACACTAGTATGTGTTTTTTGACAATAATTAGTTTTAGCTCTTTTAATTACATTTTTTTTACCGACCTGTTCTGGTTAATTTGATCATTGATTACAACTCTTTTTATTTATATTTTTTACAGATTTTCAAAAGGCTGCAGCCTTTATCCATGAGTTTTTATTGAAGTTAACTGAAGACTTAGAATGTGCAGAAGTAAGGGATTCCCTCAAGCTGGCACTCCTGCATATGCAGAAGTACTATCGAGTGCTGCAGTCGAGGAACTCCGAAAGAAATACTCATACACTCCAACTGACCGCAAGAGGTCTAAGTCCTATGACGCCATTTGTCGACACGCCCGACAAGTTTCAATGGAAGTGGTTGAATATGGACGCGTATGCGAGAATGTCGACGAATATGTCGATAGCGGACAGCATTAATTTAGCATCCTTGCCAGAAATAATTGAAGCCACTCTTAATGATGATATCGATACGATAGAAGAATTAATCAGAAGAGGTAATAACATATAATCATATAATAATGTGGGGGTGGGGGAGGGGGGTCTAACTTTGGATAAAAGGTCAGTTTGTAGTTTGGATACTAAGCTGTGCCCACTATCTGTAGCTGTGAGTAACTTCAGTCCGCAGATAGGGAGTTTAAAAGTTTTAACTGTATCTCCCTGCAACCTTGTCGGCAATATCACTTTGGTAGAAGTGGGCGTTACAAGAATAAAGCTAGTTTTGATATTGTATTGTAATTGTATTTGATGTATATAATTATAAGAGATTTGTATTTGATATTATATTGTATTTGATATTATATTGTATTTGATATTATATTGTATTTGATATTATATTGTATTTGATATTATATTTATTGTAGATCCATCATGTCTAGATGATCGAGATGGAATAGGTAGGACAGCGTTAACTTATGCTGTCCATTTCTTTAAACACGAACCATTACAATATATACTAAACAACCAGGCTGATCCTAATAGTACTGCACATGGTGAGTAATACAAATATTTAGGGGTGATGATTTTCCGTTTCAGAAAATAGCAAATTCCGTTTTAAGTATTTTTAATTCCGTTATTTTCCGTTTCACATATTCCGTTTTTTTCGAGATAAAATGTTATTTTATGAATAAATGAATAAAACATCTTAAAATGCCTTTTATTACAAAACGGATCATTTTAAACCAATGATAACAAATGTTGAATTGTGAATGACTTGTAATGTTCAATGACTAGTTATTCTTTAAACCTGTTTCCCGAATTAAATAACAGAAAATTACATCTTGTGAGCTTGTTTCATCTTTTTAGCAGACGAAGCCATTTTTCTCAGCTGCTAGGTGTAGTCGCGATTTATCCGGACATCTTCGTAGTTACTACCGTTTCTTCGAGAATAAGGGCTGGATTCACAAGGCTACGGTATATTTCTGATGTCACGTGGTTAATGCGGATAAACACGAGTCACGAGCCTGGCAGTAAAATAAGAAGTAAATGAAACGATTTTTACTTTTATGAAGTGACAGAAGTTTTTTTTAAGACATATATATACATTACAATGTTTAATTCAAGTTAAACTACAGAGTAATTTTATAATGGGATACATGAAAGACAGGTTTTCGTTTCGATTAAAATTATGATTCCTAAATGATGAAATGAAAGTAGCGAAATACTAAAATAGACAGTAACAAAACCACGCGATATCATTCAATATTTCCCTCATCATAGCACACAATCAGTGCACAACAGTAGGAAATTTATCCTCATTTCATTTCATCAAATCTTTTTAAAAATTTGATGAGGGTCAGCTTATAACTGTTTGCACAGCTTAAACCTAGCTTACAACCCTCCGTACGTGTCTCACAGGTTGTAGGGGTTGGTAGGTCACCAATCTGGTTAAAACACAGATCCTAATTCTTTTTGTTTTTATAGTTGAACATTTGTTTTACTTGTATTTACTACACTAGGATCTGGAAGATTGTTTATCATTATCGTGTTCTGAATGATGTGAACTATTAGCCAATGAAACGGTCTGTTACTTTGAGCTTTAGGCATGTTTTGCACGGAACTGTGGGTAATCCACTAGTAACATCAATGCTGTTGGGTAATCAAATGTGTGACATCATAGGGTCAAAAGCCGCTCATATGACCTCTGACCTGACCTATCGCTACAACCGGTCAGATCTTCATGTAGTGTAGGCCATCGAAAGTATAAAAAAACGAAACGAAATATAGATCAGTATTTTAATCAGATTGGTAGGTCACAGACTAGCCGCAAAAAACCTAGGTGAAAATTTTGTATGTGCAAGACCAAAAATTTCTATGGCAAGCCAGCCATCTTCTACAGTGGCGAACACACGTAATTGACGTGTAAGTCTCACGCACAGGTTTACTAAAATTTTGCTCATGGTAGCACCTACGGTGGGTTGTTAGCTAGGCTTTAGCTGACTGCTAGTGTACATCTGTTGGATTGCCAGGCAACCAATGTTTGTTGTATTTTATAGATGGTTCTACAGCGTTACATTTAGCATGTCATGATGGTAACAGTCATGCTGTGAGGCTGTTACTAGAGGCGGGTAGTGATGTGGCTGTAGTTGATGCGTACGGAAGATCATCTATACATTGGGCAGTTACCACACCAGAAACTGACTGTTTACAGGTAAAAACACCTTTATAAAACACCTGATATGACATCTCGTTTGAAGATTTCACACAGTATGCTTACTCTTTCTAGAACACCCCATACCATTTCTCATTTGGGAATTTCACATAGTATGTTTACTCTTAATAGAACACCCCATACCATTTCTCATTTGGGAATTTCACATAGTATGCTTACTCTTTCTAGAACACCCCATACCACTTCCCATTTGTCGAGGTCACATAGTATGCTTACTCTTTATATAACACCTCATACCACCCATTTTGGGAGTTCACATAGTATACTTACTCTTTTCTAGAACACCTCATACCACCTCCCATTTGGAGAGTTCACATAGTATGCTTACTCTTTTTAGAACACCTCATACCACCTCCCATTTGGGGAGTTCACATAGTATGCTTACTCTACCTAGAACACCTCATGCCACTTCTCATTGTTTGTTTCTCGATAACCTCACTAACTGTAAACAAACGTTATTTTGGAAGCTAACAAATTGAAGAATTAAGAGTTTTCAAAAACTGTATTTGATAATTGGGGATGTTTCTGTGTTCAATAAGTTTTAACTCCACAGAAAGCCTGGACGTTATTGATTTTTATAAATCAATAAAAAAATATTGTTAATTTAAATATTTCAGATATTGTTATATTATAATGGATGTTTCAGATATTTTTAGAATTATAATGGATGTTTCAGATATCGTTAGATTATAATGGATGTTTGATGTTAGATTATAATGAATGTTCAATATTTCAGATATAATAAATGTTCAATATTTCAGATATTGTTAGAATTATAATGGATGTTTCATATATTGTTAGATTATTATGGATGTTCAATATTTCAGATATTGTTAGATTTTAATGCTGATACAAGTTTACGAGATAAAGATGGTTTAACGCCCAATATGTGGGCGTGTCAGTTAGATCATATAAAACATTTCGAGTTATTAAGTCGAAGTGAATATAGTCATATAGACGAAGCAGACGGTATAGAGAGAGATACAAATGGTAGAACATGGATGCATTGGGCTGTCAGACGGACGGAACCGTTAGAATGTCTTCAGGTATGATATATTACAATCTTCTTACAGAACACACAAGGTCATTGTGTAGTCATAGTCTAATCAGTGAAGTCTGTCATTGAGTCAACTGGCGGGATTTCGATTCCCCGGTTGTATGTGGCAAGGAGTAGGGTCGCTTGTCCAACCTTGTGGGATTTTCTCCAGGTCCTCCAGTTTCCTCCCACTGCTAAAGACCCCTACGTGCAAGCAAATTATTGAAATAAAATTGAACCATATGTTAGTCTCGAAATGACCTAGTTTGTGTCGAGTGGACATTAAACCCCATCTCTCTCTCTCTCTCTCTCTCTCTCTCTCTCTCTCTCTCTAATCGATGATGGGGATGTTGTTTGTAATAGTTCTGTTTTGTTTATTTACAGACATTGTTAACCGCTGATTCTGCAAGAATAAAAGATCATGAAGGAAAAACAGTCATTTTATTGGCGGCAGAAATGGGTACGGAAATTCTCTGGTTTTTGTTATTTTATGCTTACATGTATTTACCTTGCTCTATCTGATAACTTGATTATAGCTGAGTGGATGGGAATTCGCATTGATACAAGGAATGTATTCATGGCTTTATGTTGCACATTGAAAATGTAACCAATGATTTACAGATATGGTTCACTGCAGTATGTCCAATAACACAGGAATTGTCTATTACTGTAACTTCCAAAACATGTCCAATAACAATAACACAGAGATGTTGAAACCTGTAGCCTCTTACACCATGGCTGTAGCCTCATACACCATGGCTGAGTTGATGATGCCCCATACACCATGGCTGTGTTGATGATGCCCCATACACCATGGCTGTGTTGATGATGCCCCATACACCATGGCTGTGTTGATGATGCCCCATACACCATGGCTGTGTTGATGTTGCCCCATACACCATGGCTGTGTTGATGATGCCCCATACACCATGGCTGTGTTGATGATGCCCCATACACCATGGCTGTGTTGATGATGCCCCATACACCATGGCTGTGTTGATGATACACTGTGTTGATGATGCGGAGATTGTCTATCCTTGTACCTTCAAAAACAACTCGGATGATTAATTTGTAAAGAAAGGTTTATATATATATTTATATGATTTTAGGCTCTCTACCATCATGTCAAGTTATATTAGAGATATCTGGTACAGAATGCCTACAAGATGTTGATAATGGAGGTAGAAGTGCTCTACATTTAGCAGCTCTTGGTGGTCATGGTGATGTTGTCAATTATTTACTAGAAAATGGAGGTAATTAGATTGAGTCTTCTTAAACACCCACATTGAAAATATGGTCGTATATTAATGTTGACATGTCTGTCGATCAGTCCATCCGTCCATCAAGGCATCAACTGTCTCTGTCTCTGCACTACATGTATCTCCAAGAATTGCTGATCGTTTGATTGACAGGCAATAACTCCACCCATATATTCTTGATTATCAAGTAACATTCTCAGTGGCTACAGTACTCTCGATTAGCAGGCCTTTCATCGACAGTGACTAACGGTAAACGTTAGCTTCGTCAGTCATTTATTGATTTAATTTTAAATTGACGACTTGTTTAAATCTAAGCTGTATCCAAGCCATCCGAGGGTCTACAAATTTGATTTGTAAATAAATGTCTAATTAATAGTTTATGTAACATTTAAGGCCTAAAGAAAGACCTGCAATAGGCAGATTTAGCTCTTGTATAATGTATGTTTAATTCACACAATTATATTTATTTTCTCCAGCTGATATTACTGTGACAGATAAACACGAAGCTACAGCCTGGGATTACGCTCGTAATCGTCAGTTACATTACTGTCAATTAATATTTATGTCACATCAACGTCAGAGAATTAAAAGTAACCCAACAAGTCCCTTACCTAACGGACATGGAATGTTTAACGGAAATTTCAACTACGATGATTTTAATGATGGGGTAAGACAATGTATTTATTGGTAAATATGTCAAATTTGTACGACAATAAAAAAACAACATGGTTGATAATAGATAGTGTTTCAAAATGTCGGATATTCCCAATAAATCCACATGACGTCATATGTGCAGGGCCATCTCCGATCTAGCGTTCTCCTGAGTGGACATTAAATCCCATTTCTCTCTCTTTATAGCTAGAAATAAGAATAACTTAAGATCTATTTTTTATCTATTTTTATTACAGAATTCTACAAACAGATCAAAGCCTACTACTCCGATAACCCCTCCCCATCCTCCCAAACGACCTCGTACTTCTAGAACTTTAAACAGACGATCAAACAGCATGACGTCTCCCGAGAAAGAATCACCGTTTGATTGGTCGAGTGGAAGAGCTGTAGTTAGTGCTAATAATCATCAGAAGCGGAGAATAGAGGTACGTATAACGTCAATCGGATTAATACACAGATCCTATTTCGTTTCGTTTCTTTATAGTTCAAAATTTCGGTTTACTACACTAGGATCTGGAAAAGTTGTTATATAACTCCCATTCTGGTTGATGTGAGGGATTAGCCAATGAAACGGTCTGTTATGGCACGTTTTTGGCTGAGGTGCACAGAACTGTGGATATTCGTTTTTTATAGTTCAAAATTTCGGTTTACTTGTCTTTACTACACTAGGATCTGGAAGAGGTGTTATCACTGTAACCTGGGTATCATTTAATCTTGTGTATCTATCACTAATTTCTTTCACATTCGTTTAATATCAAGCCTTTGTTTAAAAATTCGTAAAAATCATTTAAAATCACCAAAGATAATATAACTTGTACTTGTGTTCAGTTTAAAGCTGACTGATTAATTTTAATAATTTACAAGTATTTAATTTCCTGATGCACAAGATTAAATGATACCGGGTTAGAGTGTATTTCGTTTCTTTTTTTATATTTTTTATCGATTGATTCAACTTGTTAGCAAGTTTTGATAGTTTATGTGATATCGTTTTAGGTGAGTGTGACAACACCACATGTTGCTGTTGGTGCTTTTGAAGGTAGAGATGAGATAGCAATGGTCACTGATGAACAAGGTTAGTTGATTTAACTTCCATCAAAATAGGGGGTGGAGTCGGTGGAGGTGGGGGTGGGGTCTAGTGGTTTAAAGCGTTTGTGTGAAAGCATGAATTCTGTCAATGAGTCAAGAGGCATGGTTTTAATTCCCTGCTTGTACATGACAAAGAGTAGGGTCGGCTGTCCAACCTCATGGGTTTTCCCTGGGTCCTCAGGTTTCCACCCTCCGCGCATGTGGAGGTGTTTTGTGTCAAATCTCTCTCTCTCTCTCTCTGATAGTAATCACGCCTGGACATTATCTAAGTTAGAATTTTGATTTTGTTTTCTTAATTAAATAATCAATTAAGCTGTTAGAAAGGTAAAATGTGTGTGAATTTTTTTTTTCAAGATGGTGGACCTATCGAGTTCGTTGAAGAGGACGAAGATGGCGTTAGTGGAGGAGGAATGGATGTGTCTGATATAGAGGATAATGATGAGATACAACAAACTTTCAAAGATGTCCGTCCACCACCATCTAGACGTGGACCACATGAACGTTCTCCTCAGCGTCAACCCCATCCGCCTCAAAGAAAACGAAATCCATCAAATGGTGGATACAGTCCTCAGTGTTCACAGGTATTACATTTTGTTTTCTTTTAAGGAGCGGGGTTTGATTGTCCAACCTTGTCAGTTTCCCCCGGGTCCTCTGTGGTTTCCTCCCATACGCGCAAGCGAATTATTGAAATAAAATTGAAACATGTGTTAGTCCCGAAATGACCTAGTTTGTGTCATGGACGTTAAATGGTGAACGTATGCACATTTGATCATAAGGTCTATCATTGTGCGAACTGGCGGTGTTTCGATTCCCTACTTGTACGTGAAAAGAGTAAGATCCCCTGTCCTACCTCACAATCAAATTATTGAAAAAAAAACATGTTAGTCCTGAAATGACAAATTTTGTGTTGTGTTTTGTGTCTCTCGGGTGTTGATAAAAGATCCCTTGGCAGTTGGAATTCAGTATAAGAGATGGTAGTAGCGCAGCTGTCACTACAAAATTTAACTCAAAGAACATTTCATGGCATATGCCAGTCTTCATTAGCCCAGTCAGGGTAGAACATTTCATGGCATATACACTGTAACCTTGATATCATTAATCAGTTTCAACCCCTTCATTTCTGTTTAACTAATCTCTATGTATTTTGTTTTTTTAAGGATCTAAGTTCCAACTCTCAAGAACAGATTCAACTGACGGAAGAAGAACATGTTATAGATATTAATCACCCTGTGCCAAAACCTCCTCCATCAGCTGTCTATAGATCAGGTCGAACAGGACCAGTTCCTTCTCCTCCAAATTCCACTCCTCAACGTGCTCATATGTTACGCCAACCTCAACCCCTCCCACGAACGATCCCCACCGAACAACAGAATCAACGACCCACGTCATCGAAAGACATGCAGCTACCGCCTGCTGCTCGTCCTAACTCCGGTGGATCTACGTATCGAGAACAGGTGACGAGTCCTCCATTAGCGGCAGCCATAGATCAAGTTAAATCTAATCAACCATCACCTCCAGCAGATGCAGCTAACAGACCTACGTCTGCTCAAAAACCTCCTGGTTAGTATTTGTATTACTTTATCAACAAGGGGCTGCTGTAAGGTCGCTGGCCTTTCAAGCAGACGTAGCTAACAGACCTATGTCTGCTCAAAAATCGCCTGGTTTGTGTTTTCTTTTTCCTTCATTTGAATCCCAAGATACTGAATCGATGTATCACGATTCTTTTTGTATGTTTTTTTGCCGCTTCAGTAGCTAACCTGTCACTCTTAAACATACATTATGCAAGAGCTAAATCTGTCTATTGCAGGTCTTTCTCTAGGCCTGAAATGTTATCTAAATTATTAATTAGACATTAATTAACTTATCCAGACCATAATCAACTCTAGATGGCATCGCTAGCCTGCGATCTTAAGTGGATTGTGAGCCGATTTACTGCATAACTTTCCTTCTCGATTAAACGATTAAATGCATAATCGAGACTATGCTGTTTATCGTACTGACTTTAGTAATGATGACCGAGGCTAGGCAGAAATTTCATTCGCTTAGTTTTCGGTTCATAGTGGATCAATTTGAATTCAATTTTCAGCATTATATAGTTTTTAACTATTATAGTGAGAACTGCCAACTCGTTATCAAATCTCCCATATTGTATCTTTAATTATTCATGTCACACATTATCCATAGGTATTCAAACACTCTTAAATTGTTTTGATCCACATCAATATCATGATATAAAACTTTTTATTTTTTTACATCGGCAGGACTATATATATATCAATTATTCATTTTTCCTGTTTTTTTCGTCGGAAATATTGACCTGGTTATGAATTGTGATACGAATCGTATCATAGCACCTGAATCCCAAAATGTATCGTATCGTGACTACAGTGGCAATACCCAGCACTATGCCATGGTGGCTCAGTTGACCTCCTGGTTGGTTTCATCTGGATTTTCCGACGTGGTTTCCCCTTGTCAGTGATGCAGAACGGAGGGCTTGACAAGGACAGCTGTCTAGTCCTTCGGATGATACGGAAAACCAAGGTCCAGTGTATACATTGGAATGCACGTAAAAGATCCCTTGGCAGTTGGAATTCGATATAAGAGTAGGTGATAGTGCCGCTGTCCGGGCAAAATTTCCCTCATAGCACACTGTATGGCATATGCCCGTCTTCATTAGCCCAGTATAGGAGCAGAACAGTAGGACGTTAAACCCCATTTCATTTCATTTCATTTCATTTCCTCCTGGTTGGTTGTGGTATTTTTACTTTATCAATAAGGGGCTGCTGCAAGGGCACTGGCCTTTCAAAAAGTATTTCCAAGGTGTGTTTTTTATAACCGGGTTCTCGCCATCCAGACTAAGGAAGATGTGTGTAGGTCAGAGTTCATGGGAGCAGTGATTTAGTGTACATGACAACATAAGTGTATTTTCGAGTTCTTGAGTTAAAAAGAGTGACTGAGGCCGGTAGATCTTTGTAGCTGCTGGATCAAAGATGTTGCCGTTGTAAAGAGCAGACATTAATAGATTTTTTAAATATCTAAGTTTTATTTATTAACAGGTGTTCTTGAAGGAAGAAGAATTCCACCACCGATGCTCACACCATTATCAAATGCACCAAAATTACCCACGACGGACAGCTTTGATAAGATATTAAAAAAGAAAAGCAGAAAGAAACGGAAAGATAAAGAGAAGGACGCGGAAACGACATCTCCTCAAAATCCACTTGATATTCCACCACCGAGAGGCTTCGCAGCACCACTCCATCCACCACAGCAGAATCGCGTATCTTCTGCTGTTCCTCCCCCACCCAGATATTCTAAAGGAACGCCTTCACAAAACCAATCAAGGTAAGGGTAATGTGATAATAATGAGGGACCAATTTAAAAGGGGGGATGGCCAAATGGTTAGCACATGCGCTCTCATCATAAGGTCTGTGTATGTGACAACGAGTATGGTTGCCTGTCCAACCTCGTGGGTTGTCTCCGGTTTCTTCCCACTGCTAAGCGAATTATTGAAATAAAATTGAACCATATGTTAGTCCCAAAATGACACAGTTTGCATTGTGTGGACATTAAACCCCATTTCTCTCTCTCTCTCTCTCTCTCTCTCTCTCTCTCTCTCTCTCATAATAATGAGTGACCAATTTACAAGCATTTAATAATCAGTTGCATTGTTTATTTTTGAACAGTGATCGAGAAATAAAACACTTGTGGCTAAATGTGTAAGATGCTGGCTCGCTAGCCTGGAGGTGGCAAGTTCGATCCCTGCATTACAAAATGAAATGAAAAGGGGGTTTAACGTCCTACTGTTCTGCAACAACTGGGATAGTGAAGATGGCCAAAGCGCTATACTGTGTGCTATGAGGGAATTTTTGCCCAGGCAGCGGCACTTCAGCCTACTCTTATACTGAATTCCAACTGTCAAGGGATCAAAAAAGGATCTTTTATGTGCATGCCAATGTAAACACGGGACCTCGGTTTTTCATCCCATCTGAACGACTGGTTGCACCATGGGTCAAAGTGAAAATTTGTAATAATTCTAAAATATTTCATATCCTTTGATAAAAAACATTTTTGAATAATTCTAAAATATTTCATATCATTTGGAAACAATATTTTAATTTCAGGTACACTGATGAAAACATACCGGAGGAGAAAGTCACAAATGGAGATTTACCAAATCATAGTAATACATTCCAAGCCATGGATAGCGAAGATCATTCACCTGATAATGGAGACATGGGAGAAAACGAATCAATAGGACCACTCATTCCTCCACCTCAAGGCTTCAGAAACACTGGGCAGGGGAGACCACTCTCACACTCCATTCCACAGGTACAATTTAGTTATTATTCTTTTGTTTTTATAAAAGTCTTCTTAGGCCCCCAAAAACCATGCCAAGACCAATTTATAGATCTTGGGGAAAGGGGAAAAAAAAGCTTGGAATCTGCGAAGTTGACTAAAATAAAATAGGGTAAAATTTTATATTAAGATGATGTTCATCACATAATGAATATGCGATTTAGATCATAATGTCTTTCATTGATTTAAGTTGGATTGTTTCATTCCCAAGCTTGTAGTAGGGGTTGGATGGTCGAATGGTTAGCACATGTGCGCTGTATCATACAGTCTGTCATTGAGTCAACTGCCCTGGTTGAACGTGACAAGGAGTAGGGTCTCCTGTCCAACCTTGTGGGTTTTCTCTGGGTCCTCCGGTTTCTTCCCACTGCTAAAGCAAATTATTGAAATAAAATTGAACCATGTTAGTCCCGAATTGACATAGTTTGTGTCGAGTGGACATTAAACCCCATTTCTCCCTCTCTCTCTCTCCAAGCTTGTATAGTGCCACAGAGTAGGTTAGTCTGCCTATCTTCAGGAGTTTTCGCGGGGTCCTCGCGTTTCCTCTCACTACTAAAGACTCCTATGCACAAGCAAATTGTTGAAATAAAATTGTACCATATGTTAGTCCCGAAATGATTGATTCTAATATCTATTGTTAAAATATAGAAATAGGTGGATCATTTTCGTAAAAATAAATAACAGATATTTTATTTTTAGATATTTATTGCCCCCCTCCCCTGGTCTTTTCTCCAATAATATATAATTATTTATTTGTAAATAATATTTGATATAGTCGTCAACTGAATCCAGTGGGTAAGAATACTAGTAGACAGCACAGAAATAAAATTATATATTTAGACCATGGTGCATCATCTTTCATTTTCTTTAAGTTTGTTATTCTGATTTTCAGTTATTATTTGCTTATTTCATGTAAGTTTGCACGACTTCAAATTATTAGCATGCCACCATTTTCATAAGTTGTCATTGTATGTATCTGAGGCTGATCGTTCAAGGCTACCCACATGATTTATGTTATCACTGTAAGTTTATGGGGCTGAATGCTCAAGACTACTCACAGTCTTGAAGTGGTGCTCTAGTTTCTAGAACAAGTGCATCGATGTGCGAGATGACGATTTGATTATCGACCTACTTGGTATACATCTAAAAGAAATTTTCAAAATTTCATGCAAAATCCAGCGCTATGGATGGCCTACTGTTTAACTGTGGCGCCATGACCTACTCTTTTTTTTTCAACTGTCAAGGGTTCTTTTATATGCATGCCAACTGACAGCACATTAAAGATCCCTTGACAGTTGGAAAACAAAAAAAAGATTAGGTCATGGTGCCACTGTGTGCGTAAAATATGCCTTTGTCGTTGCACACCACATGTCATGTGTCTGCCATTGTACAGACAAGTAAGATGTTTTAAAAAACCCATTTTATTTATAAACACACTCATAAATAACAAATGTTTGAACCCTAATGAGAACATTTCTAATTTTGGCGGAGAATGGGTTCTGGTTTTTTTTATGTCCGTCTGCTCAAACACTGAAATCTTGCATGCAGTTAATTAAAGGTCACCAGAAAAGCTTCAATTTTTTTTTTTTAAATAATGCAAGTACATGTAATCATAAATATAACACGAACCCGAATATCTATAATATGAAATGGGTAAATTTCAATGTTAGTAATTTCCGCCATTCTCTGTGAATAGTCGTAACTTTTCACCAATAAACAATCTGTGACATCACTTTAGTCCTTCTGCTCATATTCTACTAATTCTAGTCTATATTTCTATAAGCAGAAGGACTAAAATGACGTCACGGATTGTTTATTAACGGAAAGTTACGACTACTCACGGAAAACGGCGGAAATTACTAACGTTGAAATTTACCTGTTGCAGGTAATATTGACATTTGGGATTGTGTTATACTTATGGAAAGAATATGTTGACATAATTACTTGCATTATTTAAAAAATTTATGATGCTTTTCTGGTGACATTTAAAACAATATTTTATTCACGGGATATTAAAACAGGCCAATGGCTTCCTGTAGATGGCATGCAGTTAATCACATGGATGTATTTAGTTGGATGGTTTATATATATATTCGATATCTTGCCTGCTGCTCTATTAGTAAACGATCTTTCTTAAACATATTCTTAGGATGCAAAATATTTCTCACCATCTTTCTTTTAGTTTTATGTGGGCATTGAACACAATATGTTTAATGTCAGATGTTTAAATCAAGTCTGTGGACGTAAAGCACGATATATTTGATGTCAAATGTTTAGAGTTTGTGGACATCAAGCACAATATTTTTGATGTCAAATGTTTAGAGTTTGTGGACATTAAGCACAATATTTTTTATGTCAGACATTTAGGGTTTGTGGACGTTGAGCACATCTTTTTTGATGTCAGACGTTGAGAGTTTGTAGACATTGAGCACAGTATTTTTGATGTTTGATGACATTAAGCACGATATTTTTGCTGTGAGACAATTAGAGTTTGTAGACGTTGAGCACGATATTTTTGATGTTTGATGACATTAAGCACCATATTTTTGATGTGAGACGTTTAGAGTTTGTGTCGGTGAGCCCAATATATTTGATGTCAGATGTTTAGGTCGAGTCTATGGACGTTGAGCACGATATTTTTGATGTCAGACGTTTAGAGTTTGTGGACATTGAGTACAATATTTTTGATGTCAGACATTTAGACTTTGTGGACATTAAGCACGATCGATATATTTTATGCCAACCATTTGGAGTTTGTCGAGGTTGAGCCCAATATATTTGATGTCTGTTACTCATTGCCAGGAGCTGCCTTGGCTCTGTCAATAAGGTGCTGACTCGCTGATTAGGGAGTCTGGGGTTCGATTCCGGTGTAGTGCAGGACGGAGGGCCTGGTAAGGACAGCTGTCTAGTCGTTCAGATAAAACCATATACACAATGTCCCATGTACACAATGAAGTGCATGTGAAAGAACCCTTCACAGTTGGAATTCAAATTCAAATGCAAATTTCCCTCATAGCACATTACGTGGTGTATGCCTATCTTCATTAGCCTAATCAGTGCAGAAAAGTAGGACGTTTATCCCATGTCATTCATTCATGTCATCATAAAATGCGACCCTATATTGGTCGATATAGTCAACAATGTGTGTGATTTGCCTTTTTGGGTTCTAGGCGATTTCAGGTCTTACAGACAGTTTTATAATTTTAAGTAGCGTGTTGACTGGGTCCAACATAATGATCATTCGCTATTGGGTAATATTGAATATAAGACACCCGTCACAGATTTTGTCAGTTAAATCTCAGCCTTCTGATGGTCTAGAGAGTTGATTATGAGATTGTCATGTGAATAAATGTCTAAATAATAGTTTATATAACTTTTAAAGCCAGCATAAAGACCTGCCATAGGCAGATTTAACTCTTTTAATACACAAGGTCAAGAGTGATTTTCAGGACGGTAGAGTAGCAATCAGAAAGAGCCCTCGTCCGAAACGTGTCCTGGATTAAAAACTCTGATTTTTTCACACGGTCTTGTATAGTATGTTGCTTGAGTATTTTTTGAAAGGACTGCTTCTTTTTCGCCCGGACAGTATAGCTAAGATCCATACCCAAGTGCACCGTTCAAGAGATTTTTCCACCCATTTTATGTAAGCTTATAGTAAAGCGTTTATTTGTCGCAGTTTTGGCAATATTTTTATATATATATATGCTATATATTGTGATTTTCCAGACAGTAAAATGGCAATCAATGAAACAAGATATGTTTCGTCTTCATTAGCTAGAGGGGGATCACATGGCTCAGTGGGTAAGACGCTGGCTCGCTAGCCTGGAGGTCGGGTGTTCGATCCCTGCTTTGGCTGACAAAAGTTCATCCAGATTTTCCGGCGTTGTTTCCCCTTGTCAGTGATGCAGGATGGAGGGCCTGACAAGGACAGCTGTCTAGTCCTTTGGATGAGACAAAAACCGAGGTCCCGTGTATATATTTGAATGCACGTAAAAGATCCCCTGGCAGTTGGAATTCGATATAAAAGTAGGCGTTAGTGCCGCTGCCCGGGCAAAATTTCCCTCATAGAACACTGTATGGCGTATGCCAGTCTTCATTAGCCCAGGTTTGGAGCAGAACAATAGGACGTTAAACCCCATTTCATTTCATTTCATTAGCTAGAGAAGTAGGACGTTAAACCCATTTCATTTTATTTACAAGATGTATAATATGTAATTTTTGGGATGGTAAAATAGCAATTGTTTAATAACAAGATGTGTAATAAACTATATATTTTGATTTTCAGGACGGCAGAATAGTAAGAATGCCTCCCACCAGTGCTAAACCTCCATTACCTCGTACACGCAACAGTGCTTCAGTACAACGACCTAGTGGTAAATCTGCTACACCTAGACGACCACGTCCACCGACCAGTAGATCTACTAATGCTTAGGTCAACATTTACGTGTATTGGTATTTATTATTTATATTTCATGAACGGGACTCACTGTAACCAGGGTATCATTTAATCTTGTGTATTTAGCACTAATTTCTTTATTCATTCTATATCAAATCTTTGTTTAAAAATTTGTAAAAATCATTTAAAGTTACAATTTCATATTTTCTAAGAAAGTCAAAACATAATTATTTCTATGTCTTTTGCTCAATAGGTTGTCAAGGTTTAACAAGGTAGGACTGTTTATAGATACCATCTATTTTCAGGCTTTATTTTAATAAATTTGAAAAATAGAATGTAAAAATATGAAATTGCAACTTTAAAATCACCAAAAAATAATCTTGTACTTGTGTTCAGTTAATTATTGATGTATAATGATTAATTTTTTAACAGTGGTCGGGAGGTTAAATACTTGTAAATTGGACACTCATTATCAAAATTAATCACTGAGCTTCAAACTCGACACAAGTACAAATTTTTCAGTGATTTTAAATGATTTTTAAGAATTTTTAAACAAAGATTTGATATTAAATGAATGTGAAAGAAATTAGTGCTAAATACACAAGATTAAAAGATACTCGGATTACAGTGCCTGGAAATAATCATTTTAGTTGAATCTGACAGATTTCTGTCACTGTCAGTGGGTTTGTTTTATGTAATTTGATCGCATCCTATATCAGTTACAATTAGAGATATTAATTATGTTTTTTAAACATTCACACACTTAGTACATGTTCAATTACAATTATGAGATATTGTGGATGTATGTATTTTATCATATAACTATTGTTTAGGGGGTATGTGTGTATGTGTATAAAAAGGTATATTTTATGAATAGGGGTATATATATATTTGATTTAGATATTGAATAGAGGTATATATTTGATATTGAATAGCTTTAATATACCTGAACCACGCCCTGTTTATTTTAATCTATGTAGGTAATATCCCACAAAACCAGGCTCTTGGTCATTTTTATGAAAATAGAGCTGGCAGCATATTTGAATAGTTCATAGCCTAAGCTTTCCAAAAATGCAATTCTTTTTAAATTTGTCGTATCATCTGGAGTTGAGTTCGGCTCATTCACAGCAACAAGAAGGCATACAGTTTATGCTTTTTTGTGCTCTTCATTGTGCGAGAAGCGCCTGGTTTTGTGGGAGTGGGTCACATATATAGATAGTGTATATATTAGCTGTGATATTGATACAGTTCAGAACCACGCCCTGTTTGTGTCTATGTAGGTAATATATACATAGTATACATGTCGTGATATTCACACAGATCAGTACACAGGATATTATTCTATGGAATATGTTTAGTTTATTAGTGAGGGATATTTTAATAATAATAAAACATGATATTCATGGATCAGTACACAGAACATGAATTTACATGATTCTATGGAATATATGATTGTTGCTGACAAAAATGATACTGGATAATCCTACATTCCTATAAACAACATGATGAGATAAATGATACTGGATAATCATACATTCCTATAAACAACATGATGAGATAAATGATACTGGATAATCATACATTCCTATAAACAACATGATGAGATAAATGTTGTGCCCACTAGTGATCCTTGGACAAAATAAAAATACATAAACCTCCCTACTGCATCAGATTGGTTGGAAAGATTTTCGAGAACCAGAATATTAATTTTGTAAGGCTTTACTTACTGAGCGATGTTTCTACTTGGCCTCTCTAGTCTTTATCAACCAGTAAACAGACCCTGTTCCTGAAGCAACCACCACAAGTTTTACTATATCTAACTGTTGTTACATTAGTCTGAAATTCTAGAACTTATAGGAACGGTAGCTTTGTCTAATGAGAGGTGGTGACACAAACACACTCAAATCAAACATGGCGACCTCCACGGAAACCTTGATATTGAACGAAACTTTGGAACTCGATTATCACAGGTAGACATTTTAGCTGGAAAGCGTGCGGGACTTCGTATTCACGATGATATTTTCTATCGTGGAATCTGAGAGGTCCCCAGCTGGGACGGTAGCCAATCGAATTAGTGACGATATATGCAGAGTATTATGTAAAGGCCTTGATAAGATGTACAGAGTTAAAATGAGATCAAGCCTTCTATTGAAGATGGATAAAGACGAAAGAAGCCTTGTAGTAAACAGTAATAAGCAGTAATTGTATTCCATAGAATTGATAATGACTGAGAAGCCCAGTAGTAAACAGTATTAAGCAGTAATTGTATTCCATAGAATTGATAATGACTAGAGAAGCCCTGTAGTAAACAGTAATAAGCAGTAATTGTATTCCATAGAATTGATAATGACTGAGAAGCCCTGTAGTAAACAGTAATTGTATTCCATAGAATTGATAATGACTAGAGAAGCCCTGTAGTAAACAGTAATAAGCAGTAATTGTATTCCATAGAATTGATAATGACTGAGAAGCCCTGTAGTAAACAGAAATTGTATTCCATAGAATTGCGTTCTGTGTATAATACCAGTTGAGTTATTAAATGTTATTTGATAGTTTATATGGAAATGGGATATGACTATTTGTATTTACACAGATATTATGGATAGAACATTTGTTTTTATATCATCAGGCTTACATACAGATATTTTAAATTAAAGTTTAACCATATTATTTGAATTACAAATTCGATTATGAATTTAGTTTATATGACAAAATGTCAGACAATATTGTATTAATATCTGATATATTGAGCTTTGTACTGGATATCGTTTTCATTAGCCCTGCTGATGCAGAAAAATAGGGCATTTAACTCCATTCCTTTCATCTTTTATTAAAGTCCAGGCCATAAGAGTCTATGCGTCCCAGGAATATCAAAGTTCAAAATTTAAATGGGCAATTAGGCATGAATTTTTTTATTGTTCCTTTGAAGCTTATATAAGTATGTACAAAAGTTTTCGCTTTATCGCAATCTGCTAGTGAATCATCTAGATATGATTAGTGTTAGAAAGGAAGTGGGGGGGGGGGGGGGGGTCAAAAAAGGTCTTGCCCCAGGACACTATTTTTCTCACAAGGACCATGCTATTAATAAACGGTGGGGTGGGGTGTCTAGTGGTTGAACATGGGTTTTCTCCGGTTTCCTCCCATAGCTTAAGACCCCTATGTGCGAGCGAATTAGAAATAAAATTGAACCATATGTTATCCCCAAATCACAGTTTGTGTTAAGTGGAGTGGACGTTAATCCCCTCCCCCTCTCTCTCTCTCTCTCTCATATATTAATAGTCATATCCCCTTTCCCTAATATTCATTTATCTATGTTATATATTTGCTTGTCATCGCCAGTTATTACAATCTGATTAAAACCCAGATCATATTTCATTTCGTTTTTTTATAATAATACAAAAACATAATATGGAACACAATTACTATTTTAATTAAAGCGACGTTGCGTTGCGTTGCATTGAGGGTTCTCTCAACGTTTTGAAGCAAATATAGTTCAAAATTTTGTTTTACTTGTCTTTACTACACTAGGATCTGGAAGAGTTGTTATATAACCCGTGTTCTGATTGATGTGAGGGATTAACCAATGAAACGGTATTTGGTTAATCAAATCAAATGACTGATGTCATAGGGTCAAAAGGTACTTCTATGACCCCTGACACGACCTTCTCCTACAACTGGCCAAATCTTCATGTAATGTAGGCCATCGAAAGTATAAAAAAGCAAAACGATCTGAATTTTAATGAGATTGCAGTTATTATCAGAATATTCCTATTGTTTTACCTGTATGTTTACCTGTAATTCCGTCCAGTTGTGATTATATAATTCCTTTGTTTACTTGTTTTTAATTCCGACCAGTTATGGTTATATAATTCCTTTGTTTACCTGTAAATCTGTCCAGTTATGGTTATATAATTCCTTTGTTTAACTGTTTAATTCCGTCCAATAGACAATATCATTTTATTGAACGATGTTGTTTACATTCTGGTTTTAGCATTTATTCATGTTTTGTTTAGATATGTGGGATATATTATACTTTATTCATGTTTTGTTTAGATGTTTTTATGTGGGATATATTATACTTTATGTATTATATATATATTGTGTCAGTTTTTGTATCCCTTTGCCAAAATGGTTTTTGTCATGTTTAAACATATCAACGCTTTTCTTGTAACATTTTGTATATTTTATTTATTTACCTATCTGTCAAGTTTTAATTAAATAATATGCGACATGTGACAATAAAATCACTAAGTAGTCATCTCTCATTGTTTTACGATATGAACAAAAAATATTGAAGTCTTTGATTAGTATCCAACCTCGTGGGTTTTCTCCGGGTCCTCTGGTTTTCTCCCACTGCTAAAGACCCCTACGTGCAAGCGAATTATTGAAATAAAATCGAACCATATGTTAGTCTCGAAATGACCTAGTTTGTGTCGATTGAATGTTAAACCCCATTTCTCTATCTTTTTGAATGGGATTGGGGAACAGGCTTAGCCTATGTAAAATCCCTAGAGATGTGTGTAAGGGTATTGACACATGGCATGTAATAAACTAATAAGTAGTAAGTTCATCAATATGTGTTATACTTCTAAATGTCATAAGGGGTTGGATGGTCGAATGGTTAGCACGTGCGCGCTGTATCATAAGGCCTGTCATTGAGTCGACTGGCGTGGTTTCGAATCCCCGGTTGTACGTGACAAGTAGTAGGGTCGCCTGTACAACCTCGTTGGTTTTCTCCGGGTTCCTCCCACTGGTAAAGACCCCTATGCGCAAGTGAATTTTCGAAATAAAAAATTAAACCATATGTTAGTCCCGAAATGACCTAGTTTGTGTCAAGTGGAGTTAAACTCCATTTCTCTCTCTCTCTCTCTAAATGTCATTAAAAGGATGTTAAAATATACAGATAAAAGGTAAAAGTTTAGATTCTATAAATAGAGCAGATTAATCACAGTTTTTTATTGTTGTGAAATCTCTTTTGACATTTGTTTTCATATCGTAAAACAATGAAATAGGTTTTCTGGTTTATTTTGCTGTCACAGGTCATGTTTATCAAAGGTACAATTTCTTTTTATAACAAAAGAAAATTTAATGCATGAAAGAAATTAATGTTTTACCTAATCCTTCAAGAGACATTCATTTCTGTTTAGTTACATCAGACAAAAAAAGTTAAACATGGATTATGCAAGAGCTAAATCTGCCCATTGCAGGTCTTTCTTTAGTTCTTAAATGTTATCTAAATTATTAGACATTAATTAACTTATCAAGAACATAATAGACTCTCATTGCCATCGTTAACCTGTGATATTTAGTGGATTTCATTTAACGTTAAAATGGATAATCAAGACTTTGTTTATTATCGTACCAACGGTAGTAATGACGATCGAGGCTAGCCTAAACTGGAGTCGCTAATATATTGGTTCAGAGTGAAGCAATTTGACTGTAATTTTCAACATATTTTGTTTCAAATTCATCAGTAAAAATAGCATTAGCAACAATAATTTGACATCTAGTGATTTTCGGCCCAAGTATTCCAAACTTAACTTCTTAAGATAAGACACATGTATAAATTATCATGATAATAATGTTTATTGTGATATTTGATAAATTATTATCATGATATTTTGTTTTCATTATTGCCCAACTCTAGTTTGTATGACACTTTGAAAATAAAGTAATTTGTTATTTTATATAAGAAATTGTACCTTTAGATAGATATAACTATGTATATACTATATAATGTCTATTATATTGTTATTATATATGCTGTAATCTGTGATTTCTCTTTCAACTGTGATATACACATTATATTTTATTATTAATTATTGTTATAATCACTATTCTCTTGTATCTCAGGTAGATTTTATTAATTACAAAATTCATCAAATATTGTATACTTTACACAGGTAAATTTTACCCTTTGAAACCCCAAAAATAATGGTCCATAGGCGTACAAGCCAGGGGGTGGGGGGCGAAATGGGCAGCTGCCTCCCTAACTGTTGGGCAATCTGACTGTCATCCAGCCTGTACGCCTATGTTTATTTCCGATTTGTCAGACATTTTTGTCTGTCTGGGACATTTTTAAAAAAAAAAAAATAGTATGTCAAATTTTATCATTATGTTAATTTATTTATCAAGTTTTAAAAGTTTTTTTTACACATAAAACTATAAATTGAATTTAATGGAGGTGTTTTAAGATTGAATTCTTTGAAATTAATAATTTATGGCGTGTCAAGACCGGCTAATAGAAGAGAAACAACAGCCCTGGGTTTCACTTGCCATATTCTTGAATCTTGTAATGAAAAACTAAAGGTTTTCTTTTCTATGCCAATATTGTCTCTGTTTTATATATATATATATATAATCCGTCCATTTTATTAATGAATATACATGTATTATATTGTTAATGTAGTTATATATATATATATATGTATGTACAATTCTATGGTCTGTTTCTATTTAGTCACTCGTAGTCAAATTAGTACAGAAATTTATGAAATAAAACTATTTAAATATGCTTAGTTGCATGTTATTTAACGATTTTCCTGCTGATTACGGGGAACCACAGTGGCTAAGTGGGTAAGACGCTGGCTCCCTAGCCTGGAGGTCGCGTGGTGCAGGAAGGAGGGCCTGACAAGGACAGCTGTCTAGTCGTTGGGATGGTATAAAAACAACAAGGTCCTATTAATACATTGGCGTGCATGTAAAAGATCCCTTGGCAGTTGGAATTTAATATAAGAAAAGGCCATAGTATGTTGCCCGGGCAAAATTCCCCTCATAGCACACAGTATGGTGTAGGCCTATGCCCGTCTTTGTTAGGCCAGTTGGAAGCAGAACAGTAGAACATTAAACCCCCATTCATTTCATATTATCGCTTGAAAATAAACAACCATTCTACACACAGAGACCCACTTCAAGAATAGATCTCTGTCCTGAATGGCAGCCATATCAATCTGATTAAAACACAGATCCTATTTCGTTTCGTTTTTATAGTTCAAAATTTCGTTTTACTTGTCTTTACTACACTAGGATCTGGAAGAGTTGTTTTATAATCTGCATTCTGGATAGTGTGAGAGATTAGCCAATGAAACGGTCTGTTATGGCGAGCTTTTGCACAGAACTGTGGGTAATCCACTAGTAACATCAATGCCGATTGGTTAATCAAATGTGTGATGTCATAGGGTCAAAAGGCGCTTGTATGACCTCTGACGCGACCTATCATATCACTACTACAACCGGTCAGATCTTCATGTAGTGTAGGCCATCGAAAGTATAAAAAAAAAACGAAACGAAATATAGATCTGTATTTTAATCAGATTGGCAGCCATGTCCAAAAATTCGTAGACTATTTTGTAATGTGATTCCACTCCTTCTTGTATCTGTCAAACACACAGATACCAAATAAACCTTTTCAATTCCATTAAATGGAAGCAGAATAAATACTTCCCAAAATTCGCGAAGTATGCTTAGTGTGTTCGACTAAAATCGTCAATTTAGGACATAAAATGTCAGTCAACTAGCTTAGTGTCTGTTCTCAAGTAGAGCTAACTGTAGACAGACAGCTTAAAGTTACAATTTCATATTTTCTAAGAAAGTCAAAACATAATTATTTCTCTGTCTTTTACTCAATAGGTTGTCAACTCACTATTATACGATCATAGGTTATCTTTCTCACACTTAAAAATCTTCACACCGGAAATAATAACACAATTACCTCCCTTGTTTTCCTATTCCCCACCATGGAATAGCTATCTTCAAACTTTTGAATTTGAAGTTGAAAATGATATTTTTGCTAATTTCTCAACTGGCAATAGTGAATTATAGGATTGATAAGATTATTCTTTAACAAGGTAGGACTGTTTATATATGCCATCTATTTTAGGGCTTTATTTTAATACATTTTACAAATATAACTTAAAAATATGAAATTGTAACTTTAAGGGCCAAACCCGATAATATTTTGGAGAATAAATTTGTGTTAAAATCCCTTAAAATCCTCTACCTTAGGGTCGAGCAACTAACTCGATATATGTGATACGTTTTCAAACAACTTAAACCCGTCAGTCTTCGTCTGGAAATAGAGACTGGTGAAATTTACCTTTCGTTAGCACGTGTCATTCACTGTATAGACCTCTAAAGGAACGGGAATCGATTTTTAGGTCACCCACTGAAAAAATTGACCCGGATAAGCAGTTTTGAGGTTCACCTCCAAACGGCTCAATATTTTGAGCTGAAATTTTGAGACAAGGTAGATACACCACTCCTCTATATTTTGGCGCTTAAATTTCATACGTACTCAGACTTTTATTTTTAAGACTCTGTTCAAATCGGGATAGTCCCTTTAAGTTTAATATGCTCAAACAACAAGACATTAAGACACTTGTATTTATTACAATACATTCAAATATAACAATAAATCATTCTATGTAAAAATCTGTATATATATAAAAATAACTTTATGTATATAAACATATGGTAATCAATTTGATTTCTATCTTTATAAGAACTCTATAAATAAATCTACATATTATTTACATAAATAAAAACAAACCGTGGGGACTGAACGCAATGGGCTGTTAAAGAAACATTGTTTTAGAATTTAATTTGTAGAAGATAAAAGTTAATATTGGGAGCTAATTAACTTGCTATGATGTCGCCCCTCTCAGCAATCTGCTTTACAGAGGTACTGCGTAAAATCTTATTATAGCTGTTTATAAACCTATTACGGTAAATCTCTTTGATCTTTGGGGTATATTCTATGCCCGGAATAACTTGCGGTCTGAAAGTCGGGGGCGACTTTTGATATATACAAGGGAATTTGGGGTTATTTTTCTGAAACTTTTTCTTGAAACCTGTAACAGGCTATTCTTCCAAGGTAGGTTTTTTTCCCCATAAGAAAACATGGTATAAGGTTTTTCTTACTGGAATTCTAGGATATTCTCATTTTTTCTACATGTAAACATAGATGGATTATAAGCAAGATAAAGTCCCCGACTTCGGTTATACTGGGAGGAAAGATTTCAGAAAAAACCCTTGACAGAAAAACCTCAGCCTACCGGGTTGTTTTCTTCGGTCTTTCTTTCCCCTGGATAACCTCAGTCTTGTGTTTTATCCTACACTAAAAATATGAGGGCTTTTAACAAGTGATGTCACATCACGTGGCGTCAATCATTGGCTCAATGGTGCGTGTATTGTTTACATAAGACGTTACTGGTCCGGACAGAATAGCGCCCTTTACTCGTCTATATAATTTTTACCTACATATACTTCAAACGTCTTTATTTATTTTTCTAATACTTAGAAAAAATGTTTTAGAATTTAATTTGTCGGAGGAAAAAAGTTAATAGTTCGGGCTCATTAAGCCGTGTCGATGTCATCGCTACTATATCAGTGATTGTAGCAGCCTAGCGAATATTCACTGCTGATTAGTGTGCCCTCTCAGTGATACTCGCAGCCATGCATATTAACTCCTCGCCAATGAAATAACTGCATTTCAGTTTAAATTTTGTAAATTAAGCCCCAGCGTTGCAGTAAGTGTACATTACAAAATAAAATATAGTATAAATCTATATACAATACATTGGCCATAATTCTTAAATAATATCATTTTTTTCATAATTCGTCCTTTAAGCATAGTTAATAAAAATATAGAAATTCTGAAAATTTAAGCTTTTAATATGTCAAATAACTGGTGTTACCCTTACACAACATTTTAAATATAAGCAGACACGATTGTGGTAGCCAATATTTTACACTAGCAGGAGTTTCTGTATTTAATGTTTAGTTTCAGACCATTATTGGAAAATTGATTAAATCTATTGAGAATCATAGAAAACCATTAAATTTCTACTGTTGGAAAACTGATCAAATCTATTGAGAATCACAGAAAACTATTGGGTTTTTACTGTTGTGTAGTTTAAAGAGTCTGTCTAGATTACATAATGAGTGTTAGGTTTATAACTGTTTAGTTTCTCAACAATAGATTTGATCAGTTTTCCAACGATGGTTTGAAACTTAACATTAAATACAGAAACTCCTGCTAAAACAACCCAACTAAATGATACCTGAGTTGTATTGTTAATTGTTTAACTAAAATTCTGAAACTTTATACATGATAATGTCATAGAATGCTGGTGTGGACATGGAGCCATAAATGATCAAATGTTAACAGTGCTAGGTTCCCACTACGTTTCACGCTACGATTGAAATCGTGGTTTTAAGCGTAGAGTAATCGTGACGATTCTATCAAGTCTTATCATATATCGAGTTCAGTTGTAGCAATTGTGTTGATCGTATCGAATCCTATCGTAAAGCATCGCACGACAGTGGAACCTATGTAAGCAATAATTAATTCAAAGCTTGGAACACATAAAGTAAATCACCTTACGAGGGTCAAATTATAAAAAAAATAATCAAACAAATAAACTTAATACAAAAACAATAAATCACAAAAACAACAAAAACATAGTTTGTGGATTTGGTGCTATATAAATGGACATATTATTATTATAGTCAAATTAACCCTTCAGCAACTCGTACATCTTAATATTAAAGATGCATTATGTAAAAGAGCTAAATCTGTCTATTGCAGGTCCCTTTTTTTGGCTTCAAATTTTATATAAATCATCATTTAGAGATTTGTTCTGATGACAAGCCTATAATCAATTCTCTAGACCATCGAGCGCTTGTGAAATTTAAAGGATTGAAACATGATTTAATTTAAAAATAGATAAACAAGATTTTGTTTACTATCGCAATAATGGTAGCAAATATTCATAATTACACTCAGATTAAAGTAATTTGACTGAAATTTTAATTATATTCTTTTTTCATTATCAATTTTTAAACTATTATAGCGAGAGCTGTCAGCTCTTTATCTAAACCTTACACTGTACCCAGGATATCGTTTAATCTTGTGTAAACAGCGTTAGTTTCTCTGATGCGTCTATTGTTGAATTTCGGCTAATATTGTTCAATTTGTACTGGTATCCAATTTAAATATCAGCGTTTAATTTTGATTACCAAGTGTCTAATTAACTACTGTTTAGTTTACATAATGCATCTTCAAAGAAGCGGTTATTCACAGTAGTTAGCGCAACTTTTTTTTAGCTACGACTCTAGTCCATAAACTATGTGACGTCACATTCAAAATAACTACCTCTATAACAACATGCTGGCTGTAGACAAACAAATACAAAACATTATAAACAAAAGGCATAGAAACCATCTAGGCTTGAAATTAAATGCCACGTTAAAAGAATAATAATTTTTTTAAAAAACAAATTCGAGCGTACTATGGACCAGGAACTGAACATGATGTCATCATCGCCATCTTGGAATTGTGAAGTCAAATAAAAAATCAACATCCAATAAATCGTTGCGCAATTGTCCAAGGTAATTGCCTGTAAATTTTCATGTTGTTAGAATTTGAATTGGCAGAGCTGTGGTTTATATTTTTGAAGAGCGACATCATTAAGAACAAGGCGAGCAACGATTTTGACCGAGTTCCTGGTCCGCAATACATTAAGATTGGAATGCACGAACAAATTTAGTACCTGACATTTTAAACTTTGTGTCAGACATTAATAATTACAGAATTAAAAACACTGATAAAAAAATAAAATACTTGCCAGCAGGCCTGGAAATAACGGTTTTAGAAGTACCTGACAAAATGTCAGGCACTAATGAAATAGTACCTGACATTTTCAACTTAGTTCCGGACATGTATTAATAATATCAATAAAAAAGACAAATTAGTGCCGGACAAAATGACAGGCACCAGAGGTTTAGTGTCTGGAAAAGCCTGAATCTGTGTCTGACATTGTCTGTGACAGGTGCCTTATTTCCAGGCTTGATTGCCAGAAGGGTTGTTCGAAGCTAAATGTCTGTTATAGATGCCTATATTTCCAAGCTTGCATGCTGAGTAGGAAGTTTTCTTGCTTTCTTACTGTATAACATAAATTGTACAAATTAATCTTGATTATGGTTTTCTTTGAACTACAGGAGAATCAGATTTCATACTTCCTTCATCCAGGGTCTGGAATGATACATAAATAATATATTAAAGCATCTGTGAGGGTTTTTCATTTTTCAGAAAAATATAAAATTTTCAACAGCTTAATCCATATGCTAAAAAAATATACGCAAATTGATTATTTAACATTTAATTAAGAAAACTAAAACAAAATATCAACATTACATAATCGTCAAGCTTGGATTAAATCAGATTAAAAATTAGATCCATTGTTTGCTACAAAGCCCGAGGAATAACAATCTGATTAAAACACAGATTCTATTTCGTTTCTTTTTTTATAATTCAAAATTTCATTTTACTGGTCTGCACAACACTAGGATCTGGAAGAGTTGTTATATAACAAGCGTTCTAGTTGATGTGAGGAATTGGCCAATGAAATGGTCTGTTACGGTGAATCTTTGGCATGAAGTGCACGGAACTGTGGGTAACCCACTAGAAACAGCAACGCTGATTGGTTTATCAAATGTCTGACGTCAAAGGGTGAAAGGCGCGACCTCCCATTACAACTGGTCAGATCTTCATGTAGTAGATGTCATCGAAAGTATAAAAAAAAAACGAAATGAAATATAGATCTGTATTTTAATCAGAATGGAGGAAAGACGAATCGATGGATTACGTTATTTCTACTAAATCCTCACAGCATACATAAATGATGTAAACAAACGATATCTAAACGATGCCAAGCAAACTGCCATTTTTCCCTAAACCAACACTCTAGTGGACACAAAAGGAACTAAAGAAAAGCTATTATACTTTGTTAAAAATCATTTAAAAATCACCCAAAATCATCCAATTTGTTCTGGACAAAGGTAAAAATTAGATGATTTTTGGTGATTTTAAATGATTTTTATGACTTCTAAATAAGGATTTAATATCAAACAAATGTAAAAGAATTTGGTGCTAGATACAAAAGATTTAAATGATCTGATACAGGTGTTAAGAGTTACCTCCAATCAACTAATATAGAATATTATATACCATTACCTCCAATTAATTATGGCAGTATATTATATTCAAAATTCTAAATTTGTTAATGTCGTGTTATCGTCTAATTTCTATTCATGTAATTTCTAAATTAAGACAATGTATTATATATAATTCAATTTCTTTATTTGTTCAGTGTAAATTTTAATTCTAGTATAAAACTCTTGTTTTTATAAAGGTTATTATTATTATTATTATTTAACTTTTTGGGGAAAAAGTTCATATTCTACATAACTATAATCTAAACTGCCTGAAAGGTATTTACTGAAAATAAATAATGAATAGATAAAACTTTAGAAATGTTATCAGGAAGTGACGTCATTGATGAAAATAGTCAAATATGAGACATCAAAGGAAACCTTTTTTTTTAACCAATCTGAATGCAGTTTTCACCAATTTGTAGCTGTTTGTGTATCTCAACTTTTATTTTCTGACATTGTGGCCTCTACGACTCATGTGCATGGCCTAATTTTAAGCTCAAACATGAAAATTATGAGAATAACTTTCTTATTTTTGAAGATTTACACTTGAAACTTTCAGAATACATTACAAATGGGTGGATTAAACCAAAAATGTCAACAAAAAATTGCTGATTATCTCCCCTTTGAAGATGAAGTCAGATTTTCAACTCTTTAATTTTGTCTTATCTAAAATATCTGTCAATACGAGTCACCTATCAACTTTTAGAGTAATCTCATAAAATTAAAATTCACCGGAAGTGCCACCATTTTGAAAATGTAAGTCAATGTTCAAAATCCTACTCGTCCCACAATTTTTATCCAATTTTCAATATCGTTATATTTTTGGAAAGCATTCACAATTCGCAATCCATCGGCGGGTTTAGAATTTCGAAATTTGACCTAGATTTTTTTAAAGTGAAGTCATAGAACTGAAGTTTTTTTTTTAAACTTTGAAATCGGGTAAAATGTCAATGACAAACGATTAATTGAGGCATTTGGTGCCTATTTTGAAAATCTGATTAAAATCAGTTTATAAACAAAGGTTCTGTGCAACTTTAAAGGAAAGGAAAGGAAATGGGATTTAACGTCCTACTGTTTTGCTCCAAACTGGGCTAATGAGAGAGAGAGAGAAATGGGGTTTAACGTCCACACAACACAAACCAAGTCATTTCGGGACTAACATATGGTTTAATTTTATTTCAATAAATCACTTGCGCATAGGGGTCTTTAGCAGTGGGAGGAAACCGGGGGACCCAGAGAAAACCCACGAGGTTGGACAGGCGACCCTACTCCTTGTCCCGTACAACCGGGGATTCGAAACCACGCCAGTTGACTCAATGACAGGCTTTATGACACAGCACGCACGTGCTAACCATTCGGCCATCCAACCCCCCCCTGGGCTAATGAAGACGGGCATACGCCATACAGTGTGCTATGAGGGAAATTTTGTCCGGACAGCGGCACTACGGCCTACTCTTATATCGAATTCCAACTGTTGAAAAATCTTTTACGTGCACACCAATGTGTACATGGGGCAACTTTAAAGATAAGATTGAACTGATAGATTATGGCATAGCACCTTTAATATTGGTTTACCAAAATATGTGTTTTTATCTTCTACAGTGAAAATTAGTCATTTGAGTATGTAATTGTTGACCGTCAAATTTATATAACACGTCTTTTGTCTACATGACGTCTTCGTTGAATACCATTAAAACTAAAACTCTCCTGTGGTACTGTTTTAAAGTAAAACGATTGTATTACTTTTTGAGCCTTTTTGAAAATTTAATCTTAAGTAAGGTGCTGCCTCGCTAACCAGGAGGTTTGCTACTGGTATTGCCGGAGACAGCTCCTCGTGGTTTCCACTTATCCCTGGTGCAGATTGCAGGGCCTGGCAAGGTACGATGTTCAGTCGTTCAGATGGGACAAAAATTCCTGTCCCTTGTACACATTGTTGTGCAACAAAAGGAACCCTTGGCAGTAAGAATTTGAAATATGAGTAGACTGTAGCGCCACTGTCCGAGGAAGAAATTCCCTTTTAGTACACTGCATCATAAGCCGTCAAGAGGTTCCGCGTACACAATGGCATTCACGTAAAAGAATCATTGACGGAATTCGAAATAAAAAAAATCCAGTGCACCGCTGTTTGGGTAAAATTTCCCTGCATAGCACACTGCATAGCATATGTCCGTCTGCAATGGACCAGTTAGTCTAGGTAGCTCAATTAGCACACATTTCGTTCGTTAACCGGAAGAAAAGGGCTCGTTCCTGGTGTTGGCCATTTATTTTTTTTTACTTTTTCAATTTTATAAAGTCAATGTCAACAACACACATTACTTTACTGTATATTTGTAATTAATATATAATTTTGTGATAATCTAGTAGAAAAACTCTCATCTTATTTCTATTATTAGGTCAAAAAATGTCTTCTTTGATGCTTTACATGTTTAGCATGAACATTGAACAAATTTAGAATTTTGACACTTCTACCTAGCAACCATCATTATGATGTCGTTTGGTGTCGCCTTTGCATGCTCAATTTATAATAATAATAATAATAATAATGTATCTTTAAGAAGGGTTAAAGATTAGGCTATAATAGCCTTTCTAACATCCTGCTCTTCATAGAAAATATAATACAAAAGATATAGCTAATAAATAAATAACACACCACAATCATTTACAATAGAGGAAAAAAATAAATATACAGATCAGTTATATGTGGGTCATTTAACAGAAAGTTTGAATACATATAGATATTAAATGTATTAACAAATATACAATATGTACATGCTTATATTATAGAGATACACAGAACACATATCATAAAAGATAAGCTTATAGGTTTTTAAAGATACATTATGTAAGATTAAAATAAAGACTGGTCGTTCTTGCTATAATAGCTCAAAAATAGATAATGTGAAATGAAAATATTGAAAATTTCATTAAAATTACTTTATTCTAAGCCATGTTATCACTGTTTGTAGTTTTGACAAGATGTTTGCCGTGTGGTAACCAGGGCACTGGTATATTTGAGACTTAGCCTCACTCTCCCATTTTTAAATCAAGTTTTTAAATAGCAAACCGTTCTAATCTAGTTAAAATCTTGATTATCCGAAGCCATCGAGAGTTGATTATGGCCTGGATAAATTAATTAATGTCTAATTAATAATTTAGATAACATTTCAGGCCTAAAGAAAGACCTGCAATTGGCAGATTTAGCTCTTGCATAATGTATGTTTAAGAGAAGATATCTGAAGTAGATTTAAGGTAAAGAAGAATTTTTTTCCTGAAAAGATTCAAGTTATTTAAATTTTTTAAAGAAGGTGGCAACAAATTCCAGAGTTTTGGCCCTTTAAAGTGTATACTACTTTTAACTATTTTAATATTTGGCTTGAGAGAAGAAAGTTTATTGTTAAGATGATTATAAGGAGTTTGATAACAAGGTAAGAGGTCAAATAAGTAAACAGGACATTGTTTTAGTAGAATTTTATAGATAAATATACACTGATTAGAGATATGTCGATTTACTATTGTTAGAATGTTCAGTTTTATGTTGATATAAACGACTTTCTCTTCGTCAGGTCGAATGGTTGGACGGAGTGTTCAAATTGGAAACAACATCGAACGTGAGTAAGTTTTCGAAATACTATGTCAAATAGGCTATATAACATTTGTTCATTTTTTTTTAAGACAAGTACAGAATTTGGAAAATTTGATCTGAATTTTTTTACAGTTGAGCCAATTAATGTCACTTTATACCATCCAAACGACCAGCCACAGTCCTTACCTGGCCCCCCATCCTGTATCAACGACTTTTATAAATATGGGTTATATAACATCGTCAGCTAGTATATCCTCTGGCCAAACTAAGCTTTATAATATTTCTGACATTATTAGTTCCGACCCTGTGATTAGCGAAGACCGCCTTTATTGTATGGCAAGGACAGTGTCTAGTCATTCGGATTGGACAAAAACCCTTGGCAGCTGGAGTACACAGTGGTGGCACTGTCTGGGCTAAATTCCCCTCATAGCACGCTGTATGTCATAAGTTTGTCT